AGTGAAAACTTTAAACATCATTTGGACTGGTCTGGTGGTTAGAGAGCTCGGCTCGTAATCTGAGGGCAGTGGGTTTGAATCCTTATACCTCCAAATATTCTCACCCTTTTAGCAGTGGGGGCATTATAATGTTATGGCCAATTCCAAATCATTTAGACTTTTCTTCCTTTAAATTTGTTCATGGAATTGTCACAACTATTCACGTCTTCTTACATTTTCGAAAAGTTACGACCTGTATTAAAATATTACACAGGTTTAACTGACAAAGTAGCTAAACAAATTCTTCAAATTCCTACTATTATTACTTCTTTTAGTTAGTAATGAAACACACATATTTTTAATTTTCGGGCTTAAAGTCATTTACAAGAAGTTCATATTTTTTAAACATCCGTTATAGTTGTCGGTGTTAATAGAACAACGAATTTTTTCATCTTCTGCTCTTGTCATTGGAAATTTATTGTCGCATAGGTTTCACTGCACACCCTGTATTACCACTCACTAAGTATTCATCCTACCTGTTTCATTGTATTAAAATTAGCACATTGAAGTTTAATAGTATCAATCGCTCACACGTTCCTTCTTCTTCAAATGTAAAATAACACTAAAGTATACTTTTAATATACTAACACAACTAACTACTCACAGTATTGCACTACATTGGCACTATTAAAACTTATACATGATAGTTTTTGGATTTATTTGATCTTTTGATTCTATATGAAGTTCAATGTTAAAGAATACCTCCTTTAATATTTATAGACTTTCTCGTGGAAGATGTCGCTACAGAATTCCTTAGGCTTCTGTTAGAAGATTCTCTATTAGCATTGGTCGTTTAGCGGTTTAGATATATTTGCAGAATGTTTTCCCTCTATTTTTAATGGGGTAATTAGGTGACAAATATAAATGGTTACCCCATTAGCAAATACACGACATAGTGAGATATTCGAACCTATTCGTTAAGTATATCGTAGTTTACCTCTCGGTCTACTCAGAATTGTCTTCCAGATACAGATTTCCAAACACCAAAAAAGATCGTGTCACGTCTTTGTGTGACTATGTTGTAACTGTTTATTTAAGTAAGCTGTTTTTGTTTCGCTGTGAAACCCTGTCGTCTCAATTAATTCAGATAAGAACTCAGTTTAACTCTGTCGAACTTCGCGTTAGAGCAAACATTGTTCTTACTATACTGAGACACGTAGTCTTACGGAAGTCCGAAACCGCAAGGTGAAATAAAGAATTTGAAGGTTTCATCTCGTACGTACGAGATATTAAGTTAATATATTATCCAGTACGTACGAGATGAGATCTTCAATTTTCTTTTTTCACCTTGCAGTTCAGGATTTCCATATAGTCTCATAGTAACAATAAACACAATTTAATAAGATTAATCTGTACATTTTATCAGCAGTTAGTGGTGAACTTACCACCTGGTATTACATCCTTTGCCTCAACAAGCACACTTTTTGAAATGCGCTTTACAAATTTGGTATTACTCTTATAATAATTATGTTAACAACCAAATCATTTACAGCCTTTCTCGGCCAAGCTGTACAGAGGTTGTCTAACTAATTTTCCTACCCTCATAACTTCAATATCTGAAATATTCATGTTATTTTTTACTTGTAATATTTACCTGAATTTGATCAGGTAAAATGTTTTGAGTTCTTTTGTCTCTAGCTGAAACAATGGGGTTTTATATATTCATTTTCTATATACCTATTTACTACCGTTGAAAGCAACTGAAATGAAATATCAAACTGACGTTAATTAAAGTTGCTACTGTTGAAAGTTCCTGGAATATAATATGAACCTAAGTTCGACTGTGTTTATAATTGTGGATATTATATGTATATATGCTAACGAAAAAAATTATATTTATATTATCATTTGCTGAAACTAATATCCGTATTTGTAATGAAATGCGAATTTCCACAATCAGGCTGTAAATATATATATATGTTGTAAGCAGGCTCCTAAGTTCTAAGGGCGAAGCTCAAAATATGTGCTATGTGTTTTATGCCCATCACAGGGATCGAGTCCCGAATTCTAGTGTTATAAGTATTGTCCTAGAGCTACTAGAAGTTAGGTTCACAGACTCAACTATCCGTGGACAAAGTTTCCTCCAAAGTTTTTTTGGTTCTTTAAGCATAAATAATCCGATTTTTAGCAGAAATGTATCGAAATATTTTCTGTATATTATGATTAAAACTACTATTTGAAACTATGTTGTTTTACTAAGTTTTTATCGAGTTTCAATAAGTCGTTAAATATGTTTAAGTATACTGGAAACGGTCTAAATACACAATATCTTGAATTCACGAAAGACATTTTTTTCTAAGCTTCGTGACTGTCTCTATAACATGGAAAACACTTTGTATTAACCTTTAAGAATAGCATCATATTGAACGTTTGAAAATAACTTTAACGCATGTCAGAAGTGATGGAAATCAACTCAAATCAGTATTTTAGCATACATTATAGCCTTATTGATATTGCTCATAATAGTTAACTTAAACTGCCCTCCCCCGGTGACTCATTGTAAACTTGAGGGCTTATAGCTCTAAAATACTGGGCTCGATATTCGCGTTGGCCTAGCACAGACAGCTCATTGTGTAACATTGTGAGTAAAAATAACACAAAAAATCAACAACAACAACAAAAACATTTAGATTTGGAGACTGAGGTCATCACGATGTACTATTATATAAATATGAATGACGTGCGCAGAAACTTGATCACATGACTGAATAAGTTATCGAACTGCGAAGCGAGATAAACAATTAGTTGTCGCTCAACTCTTTTAAAACTAAAGTAGGTCAAAACACATTTTATGAAGAGTTATTTATTACCACTAAAACATGTATTAGAATATATAACTCAGTAGAATACAGCGCGAAAGCCTAGACGTTGAAGTTATGATCAAAATTTTGTTTGTTTGTTTGTAATTAAGCACAAAGCTACACAATGGGCTATCTGTGTTTTGCCCACCATGGGTATCGAAACCCGGATTCTAGCGTGTGCCACTGGGGAAATGTTCAAAATACAGAGTATAATATAATGTAAGATAAACTGTAAGCTCGTTTGGTTAACGAATGAAATAACAACCTTCGATGCTAAAGTAAGCACTTATAAGAACCTTTGAGCTCGGACAGCGATTAGTTAACGGACTTATAACGCTAGAATCCGCTTTGCGCGAAATTCAAAACCCAAATCAAACTTTTGAGCACCTGACCCTCCCAGCTCTTTAAGACTCAAATACCGATGTTGAGAAAATGGAATGCTGATTATATCAAGGAAGAGGTGAAAGGTGTACCTGACCCTCCTAGGTCCAATAAAAACGGCCTAAAAATTCGATACATCGAATGAGCTCGCCTGACGATATCGTCCACATCTTTTACAGGAGCTGTATTACAAAAGTGTTATGACTGAGTTTTATATACAGTTATTACTTCCGTCCACTTTTGATGGACGGAGGTTATGTTTATGGTGGGTGGGTGTGTTTGTCAGCAAGATTTATCGAAAACAGCTGAATGGATTTGGACGAAAGTTGGTATACATTTGGACTTTGACCCAACTTAGATGTGATTGGCTTTTGGATGGTGAAGGTCATAACAAGGTTACAAAAATCTAATAATCCCTGTCTGTTAACATGGGGACCGATTTTTCATATTATTGTTGCTCTATAACTCAGTACAAACATGATCGGATTTTAATGAAACTTGATGGATATATGTAGAATATCATTCCTCGTTTTCCTGCTAAAAATGGTCCCTGTACGTTAAAAACGATGGACAAACGGACACATTTTCGTATTTTTTGAGAGCCGAATATGACGTGACGAAGGCCTGCGCTCTAATTAGTCTCACTCTAGTTTATTTTGTGATCAGTAACATCACAGAATCATCTACTTTTACTGATGCAACGCATCAATTACTTAAGATCACCGAAAGATCGATGCAACTGTCTGGTTATTCTACCAATAGGAATACCGATTTTTAAACTGTCACGTGTAGGTCAAGGGTCAGAGAAGCGGATTTAGAAATATATTATGTAGCACCGGTGAAAACTCCACTAGCAAAAAAAAGAAATATAATTTCGTAGTGGTGATTAGTGGTACGTGTGTCACAGCTCCTGCCGAGCGTGGTTGTATGTGTGGGTTGATATACATTGTCATGTTTCATCGCCTCTTCACCCCTGCTGTCCTGCATGAGATACCACGATAATTGATGTCTAGATTCATCCCAAAGAAAAATGTCAATATTTAGAGGCTAGGCTCGTATTTTATTGTTTTTTTCCAAGTTCTGTCCTTGAATTTAATGGTTTAAACACCAATACTAATGCGTTTTAAGCTACTCTTTAATTTTATACTCGGTAAACATAAATATACCAGAGTACGTTGTGCACCAAATGATTTTGTAGTTAGTAAACATAGATATATCAGAATACGTTGTGCACCAAGTGCTTTTGTGGTCAGTAAACATAAATATACCAGAGTACGTTGTGCACCAAATGTTTTGTAGTCAGTAAATATAGATATATCAAAGTACGTTGTACACAAAATGTATTTATTGAGTACACAGATTTAGTTGACTACATGTAAAAGAAACATTTCGTTTTCAATCAGTTGCCCTTTTTTAAAAGCTTGCAGGTAACATTTAAACTGGACAAACTGCCAAAACTTGTGTAAAGAGATAAAAAATGACCACAACATATCAAAACAATTTATTTTTCTCCAACTTTATGCAGCTTCTGTGTTAAGGAATGAATCAGATGAATAAGGTTGTTGTTAACTACAAAACTATACAACGGGCCATCTGTGCTGTGCCCGCCACAAGGGTTGAAACCAGGTTTTTAGCACTGGGTGGCCAGGTGAATAAGAGTGATGTCACCAGTTTTTTCAACAATTCATCGAATTTCTAAACTCTTATGACGTTTTATTTAAAGTAATCTTGGAATATTTTTGCTGGTTAATTGTGCGAGCATAGCAACAAGCATATAACAAACATATATATCTATATACATTTAAATTAATCATTTAACAGCTAACCAAAACAAACAGTTTAAAATGCGTTAATACTAAGCTCCTTTTTTAGGTTTTGAGGAGACAGACACGTTAACTTAACAGATTTAGAAAATAAGAAGGACAGAGCAACAGAACCGTGATTTCCCTTACTTCTGTTTTAATAAGTTAATATAATGTTAATATAATATTAACATTTTTATCTTACTCATATTTTAACTTCTAATCTTATTTCAGATATATACATGGCGTCTACAACAAGAGTGAACAGTAGACCGTTGGAGAAAGATTCCGATATCCAGTGTAACACACAGTTATGTACATCCTATGTTCTGGGCATCTTAGCCTGTGTGATGATAATCGGTGGGGTTTGTCTAGCTTTTTATCGGTGGGATTATATGTGGTTAGTCGTTTCCGCGATTGGTGGTATTCTGGTACTCCTCGGATCATTACTTCACTTCTGCGGCTCCAGTACCAACCAGAAAAATCAACGACAGCCGACGAGAAAACACAGTCAGATCCCTACCGATCAGTCGATTCCATCAGCACCAACTCTGAGGGATGCCTGCTCTACCAGTCAACTTTCTTTGACCATGACACATTCCTACTTTTCAGAAGACTCCAGTCTCCCAACGCCTACAGCTCCTGTTTCGAATATCGACATTAACGGTCAGAAATACGTGTTGTTATCAGTTGGTGGGGAATATTCTGCGGCAGACACCCGGAGTATTATCACCAGACTAAGTTCAATCTTTTCCAACTCTACACTGGAGTTCGTTAGGTGACGTACTTGTTATATCCCATTGTTAAATGCGATATTATTTGGCACATGCATATCTATCTATCTATCTATATATATATCAAGTGATGTCATAAAGATGTTAAAAAAATCATTGGCTAACATCAAAAGGAATTAAGATAGAGAACAAGTAGGCCTAGATGAAAATGCAATTCAGGAAACATAAACAGCGTTTCACTAAACTAATTTCATATTTCAAAATGGATAAAAACCGGAACATGTCATCACAGAGATAAAATTCATAATGATCAAATGGAAATTATTATTTCTTTGTTTACTCGTCTCAGAGGAAAGCCACATTGGGTTATATATTGTGTCCACTGCAGGGAATCGAACCCCGGATTTTATTGTTGAAAGTCAGTAAACTTGCCGCTGTCCCACTTGTTTTTTTTTTCATCTTTCGTTTTAAAGGCATGATTAAAAAGTAAAGGAAAAATAACTCCAAGTATAAGGCTCAAGTGAAAGAGTTTCGGTAATCAATCAGATTCAAAATTGGCTCGTGATCTCTCTTTATCAATGTTTTCACTGTAAGTCATTTATTACTAATTATCCCTTACGTGAGTTACAGATTTCCTCCAATAAAGTTATTTTTTTTTTTGCAAAATGGAACTCTCTTTGCTAATTTTATTTTGCATTGCTTATAGTTGTTGTAATATCATTGTTCAAACATATGTTAGAAGCATATAAGTCCTTAGGCTACAAAATAAAATGTCTCATCATTACCAAGAGACGGTATTTAGCCAAAAAAGGGCAATAAGATTCTAAGACAGTTTTTCTGAAATCTTTACCAAACAGCTCAGAAACTCTATTGTAACCTTGAACACTTATTTGAAGATTTTGTTTCGCCCCAAACTCTCTGTAATAGACTTCAATAATATCGCTTTTCGGTCACGAATAGCATGTATTAGAATTCTGTTGTCACAAGAAAGACTGTCCACATTGGAGTTAAAATCACGTGGCTTGGATAACCCAAGAACAGACACCAGTGCTGTTCATTAACCCAAGTTTTGTCTTTACTTCACAGACCATCATATCAGAGAGTGAAAACGACCTAGGGGACGTTATCGAAACATCAAAAGAAGCTTTACGAGATCGTTATGATGTTGAGTATATCATGGTTTGAGGCAGCATCACCTTCAATGGGAAGACTGATTTTCCTGTGTCCCATGGGTGAGACCATGGATATTTACATGAAAATATATATCTTAAAGGATGAGATCTTGGACATTTACAGGAAATTATATATCTTAAAGGGTGAGACCATGGACATTTACAGGAAATCATATATCTTAAAGGGTGAGACCATGGACATTTACAGGAAATCATATATCTTAAAGGATGAGACCATGGACATTTACAGGAAATTATGTATCTCAAAGAGTGAGACCATGAACATTTACAGGAAATCATATATCTTAAAGGGTGAGACCATGGACATTTACAGGAAATCACATATATATACATCTTAAAGGGTGAGACCATGGACATTTACAGGAAATCATATATCTTAAAGGGTGAGACCATGGACATTTACAGGAAATCATATATCTTAAAGGGTGAGACCATAGACATATACACAAAATCATATATATATATATATATTAAAGGGTGAGACCATAGACATTTACAGGAAATCATATATATATATATATATTAAAGGGTGAGACCATAGACATTTACAGGAAATCATATATATATATATTAAAGAGTGAGAATATAGACATTTACAGGAAATAATATATCTTAAAGGATGGGATCTTCGACGCTTACATGAAATTATATATCCTAAAGGGTGAGACCACAGACATTTACAGGAAATTATATATCTTATTGGGTGAGACCATGGACATTTACAGGAAATCATATATCTTAAAGGTGAGACCATGAAGATTTACAGGAAATCGTATACTTCGGTTATTGGTGACGATGTTGTTCTTGTGAGTGACCGTACCGTACTAAGGTCAGGAATATGTGACCCATTCATTCTCAAGTGGGTCTAGAAATCCAACACACTATTTCGACTTTTCCTGTTCAGTCCGTGACCTGGGAAATGCCCTTATAGCGGAATGGAACTACCTGCTAGAGATTAATATCCAGAGTCTCACTAAAAGCACGAAGTGGTCATTGTTTTGCTAGACACTCTCGCTTTTTATAAGATTTCTTTCGTTTTTCTTTATCAATTAAACAAAGCTACCCATATACCTAAAATGTGCCTCACAGTGGTTCAGCGGTAAGTTTAATGTCTAAATCAACGTTTGAGGCTTAATAGGTCCTTCATCAGGATGTAGATTGTACAGACACTGGTGGTTAAGATATTCTCAATCAGTCTTATCCAGATGCATCCCTATGGTTATTGCATATATTCTCAGTTACGTAACAAACAGTTTCAGGGTTAATTTATCTTGGATATCTCAGTAAATTCGACATCTTATAAATCAGGTGTTAGTGTACATTTTTATCTTGTTAATTCTCATGAAGATTATTTAATTTAAATCATTTTATTGTGGTATCATTAATCTATCTGTACAAAATTCATGTCCTTTAGTGGCTCAGCGGCAAGTCTGAAGGCTTATAAAGAAAAGAAGTGGGTTTCGATACCGGCGGTGGGCAGAACACAAATAGCCCATTGCGTAGTTTTGCACTAAACAATAAGTAAACATTATAACATAATTAATATGTATATATATATATATATATATATACCGTGGTGGGCAGAGCACAGATAGCCCATCGTGGAGCTTTGTGCTTAATTACAAACAAACCTTAAACCCTTTGTTAATGTAGCTCCCCAGTGGCACAGCATAACTTTCAAATTGGTTTCTGAAATTTAGAAAATAGCAAACAAAATCTTTGAAAAAATAAGTTATCAACATTTTATTTTCGCTTTAGTTTTAGGACCCACTTTACCTACCAAATAGTATTTTTTGTCACATTTATCTCCGAGATCAAACGATATGTAGGATTGTTGGCTTCTAACAAACAATTTTACTGGTTGTTTTTAAATGGATGCCGTATACTTTGTTAGGACTCGCCACTTGTACCATTTTTATGGCCATTTTTGGTTCATATTCTTTGTTTGTTGAATTTTTGCGCAAAGCCATTCGAAAGATATTTGCACTAGCCGTCCCTACTTTTGAAGTGATTCACTAGATGAAAGGTAGCTAGCCAATACCATCCACTTTCAACTCTTTTACATATGAATAATAAATTGCAGTCGCATTATAACGCATCCTTGGCTGAAAAGGCGAGCATGTTTCGATCCTGCGTCCTGACCACCAGGCCTGTTACTAGTATTACAAAATGCGTAAAAGGTCTGAAATATATTTTATTTGAAAGTGAAAAGTATTTTTATGGCACAAAGCTACATAATGGGCTATATGCACTGTCCACTACGAGGAATCAAACTCCAGATTTTGGAGCTTTAAGTCTGTACACTTAGCGCTAATCACCGAGGGATGAAGGTAAGAATGAAAAAATAAATACATTACTAATATAAGGTTATATTTATATATTAAATTAAAGAACAGTTTGGGCAATAATTATTTTTTTAAACATTTATATCTTTCAAGAAAAAGTTGTTCGATGTTTCTCCAGATTCTTGACCGCATGCAAATTGAATTTTTATTTTCTAGTGGGACCACTGAACAGTCCATAACACAAAACGATTACCGTAGCTATCAGATTGAGGATAATGTTTATTCGAATGAACCAAAGCCTCAGTCTAATCGCCATTCGTTTCTTCAAATACTTAACGGAACGATCACGCTCCAGCCCCAGGAAGAACAGGATATCAGACAAGAAGCTCGTGTGATAAATACTGTACAATCAGGAACAGAGACTTGTTGTCAATTACAGAAACACGTAAATAACGAAAACATTCAAACAGTTTTAATCTCAAATGAAGAGCTGTTAATAGAAAACGGCGAAACTCTCGAAGAACAGGTAGTTGAAGCAGTAAATACTCAAATAAGTACTTCAGAAACACTGGTCTTGGAGGAACAGCAAGACGAGAGGAATTCAGGACAGGAATATTTGTATGACTTCCCACGCCAGTTGATCACACCTGTTGAACCTGAAGATGTAGTGATAACCAACTGTAACGCAAGAAGTACAGGAGAGCATGTTGGAAACATTGGTGTAAACGAACCTATTCTTTCAACGTCTGTGCATCAAAATTCAGATGATCCGGTTCACGAACAAAATATCAAAAGCGTAAACTATAAGAATCCTTTTGAAAATACCCCACTCCTTACAATTCCACCGTCAGATGTTACCTCTCCAGACAGTCGATTTATTCCTGAACTAGTTTCTGTATCCCCCAGTAACTGTATACAACTTAGACAGAGTCAGCCAGAGACAAGTTGTGCATCGTTTAGTGAAGAGTTTCACAGAGAGGAAAACCAAGTTGGACATCTTCCAGAAATTCCTGAGATGTGCAACCAAGAAATAAATGGACAATTTGTACACAATTTGGAAGTACAATCCCCTCGTGAGAGTCATGATATTGGAAGCTCAGAAGATATCCAAAGTTCGGACTTGCTTAATCCCCCTCCAATTGAAACTATTCTATTCAGCAATATAGAAGATGATGATCTAGAAGAACGAGCTTCTCCACCTCCCAGCTACGAAGAAGTTGCAAGAGATAAGCATATAACTGAAAGCGCATATTGTTTAGCTTTCGGAACGTTATAACCATTAACAAATGGAATTATAGTACAGATCGTGCCATGCATACGACATACTTGCATTTAAGATTAAATGTCAGAAAAACAAAAAAACATATTGTGCATACAAAAAAAAGAAAAAGAATCACCATCTGTAAATCAGATAATTGTTGTCTTTTGTTAATAGCTTCAGATTTGTGTATATGCCAGTACTCTTAGTTAGCTATCGCGCTATATATGCACTGGATAGAACAAATTAGAAGTAGAAACTTACCTCAAAATCAGTATCTGGACAGGTTCGATTGTGGTTTTCTAGAGGTATAGAGAAGCATTTATTATGATATCTTACATATCTGTATCTCTCTGGGAATGATGTTTGGAATGCTGTACGATATAAACAAAATAGGAGAAACCACCAATTGACCATTTGGATGCTATTGGACCTGATTTATACGTAATGGAACATATTGTTTATTTCCATCGTGTGCTGCCTATCTTGATCAGGAAATCCAAGTCATTGAACACACACACAAGACCTGCTTCAGCAAACTCAATTAACAAGCACATTGGATTAGCTCATAAGCTCCTTGGCTAAAGAGAGAATAAATTCAGAACTCTGATAGGGTATTTGAAGACGTTGCAGACATTTGTTTGGAAATACTCGTTATGAACATAAAACATTTGGGGAGCTCCAATTTTAATATTCTGAACCACGGTGTTGCTGTAAACACCTATACTAGGTGTAGCATTTCAGGAGGCCATTGTGGCAGTTCCATGTTTTATGGCTTTTGCTTTAAGAAGACATTTAATTTAATTTATATTTATGAAGTTATGATTTAGTGTTTTACAAAATATATGTTGACAATTTCCTGGGCCCTAATAACTTTTGTCCATTATATATGTCAAGAGTGCTGAATTGTTAAGTTGACCAAGGGTAAGATTATGTTAATGTTAATAAAAAAGTTTAGTTTTTAAATGTTTATTTTCATAAGGTAAAGCATTTCATTAATATTTTCAGGAACACACAATCAAAGTTAGTATATACATGATTATTATATTTAGTCAGGTCTTTTCCCAGTTTTTATAAATATAATAATCATTAGTGATTAATGACACAATATGGATGTATGAACCTATATTCCTATAGGTTTTGACTAAAATACAACTAAAAAAAAAACATACATATAATATACAGTTCACAACAGTCTTGTTTTTTTTATTTGCTTATATCTAGGGTTACTGATGAGGGGTGGAATACTCTGAAACAGGTATAACTTAGTGACAAAGGATGAATCGAATAATACACTTGGTTTCAGATATATTTTATATTGGTAACATAACTAACATTAGTTCATATTGTGTGAATGTAAACTGGTAAACTGGAATTTTTCTCTCTTTTGGGGTTTCCTTAGTCTGATACACAAGTTTCACTATATCTTTACGGTATTTGGTCAACTGTATTCTTCAAATGAAAGTAGGCCTGGGAGGTTGAAACTTTACCTTGCTCTATATATGCATGTGCAAAATAAAAAGTTTGATTATTAGTTTCAGCAAACATTTAGGTCATAGAATAATTTGTATTGAGAGTAATATTATAATAATAGTTACAAGAAATACATTCATTATTGTGAATCTAGATAATAAAGCCAACAGAAAAAAGTCAGTGGAAAGAAAGTCAATCAGACCAAAAAGACATAGAAAATTACACTGGTAAAAAAGTCAAAAAAGTATTTTAGAAAACAGTATCAATAACACCTAAGACAATTATTTAAACCAACTAAATTAATAATTAAGCTGTTATTAATACAGTTTTCTAATCAATATTTTTCAACACTTGCTATTAAACCCTTATACCATTCTTAAAATATAAGACTTAAGTTGTTTTTTTTACCTGCATTTGTGGTTTTCTTTGCCTTTTTTTTCCTGTTTTCCTTATTACTACCACTGCATTGTTGTAACCAGTTTTAGTGGAAAATGGCTTGTAGAGAAACTATCTTCACAACCAGAGACATTATATTGTTGCGTCAGCGAGGTCACATGACTAGTATCATGCCACCTGTTTCTAGAAATATCCTGTTCCTTCATGAATGCCCTAGCATTTACTAGATATGTGTTAGTCTTGTATATATATATATAAGACGGTCACAACGTGACGGGACAACAGAGGTGATGAGTAATTGAACTGCAGTCAGAGAGAATATTGTTAAGCACGTGAGAATTATAGCGTTTGTTACAGAGCGACTGTTGAAATTAAGTGTATCGTAAAGTTGTATTCGGAAAGAATAAACCAGTTTTATTTAAGTAAGGACTTGTGTCGCTAAAGTTTCGTCGGAACGAATTTACGGAAAATTAACTAACGACTGGTGGCGTAACAATATTAACTGCAATAATGAAATCTGAAAAGTCTCCATGTACATATTGTCATTGAAGCTGTAATTAAAAAATAACTGATACTGTAGGAATGATCTCTCAACTTTTCAGGGCTTAATGATCTTTGGCAATTGAAAACCAGACAGCAGTTCAAGGCCCCAGAATACCAGAACCAGCACATGGGAGAAGCACTGACAGTAAAAATCAGCTGAACATTACAAAGTTCAATGGTGGAACCTGAGTGATTGAGATGTTAGTCTCACATTGACTACATTCTGCTTTTGAAACTTTATAAAGGGAAGTGGACACCTTATATGATGGAGTAAATTTCACTTTTCCTTTTTTGTCCTGAATATATAACCAAATCAAATGCATCCTTATTGATGTTACCACAATATCCCAAAGAAAGATTAACTTCTCCCATTTCAACCACATAGTCTGTCATAAGCAAAAGTATGTATGTGTGTGTGTGTGGTGGGGGGGATTGATACAAGGAATAAGATACAAAGAAAATCGAGGCCCTATGTTGACTGTATTAAAACTAGGTCAGCTCTATCAAAGAATAGTGATATCAGTAATAACTAATAATCAACAACACCTAACACATAATTGAATGTTTGAAGAATCACATTAGGTACAGTAAATTATCTGGCCAGTTTACTTGAAAATTTTCTTAGCACATACTTGGAAGTACAAAATGCATTTTAATAATTATTACTCAAACCTACAGTTTATAGAAAACAAAACAGAATCACAGGCTAAGTCCAAAGTTGATTTTAACAGTGGTAAGTTACTGTGAGCTTTCACAACTGCAGACAGGAAAGCAAAATTGAAGTCCTGTTTCAAATATACTCATTATGGTCCAATAGGCAGCCCAAGAAAGATGATTGAAGGCCTTCTCATGCTTGGCAAACCAGTCAGTGACTTTTGCAGTATTAATTGGTGCATTGTCATTAGGAAACAAAGCCACCACAAATGAGATAAAACAAATAAATTCCAGGAACAATTTAGGTCTTCTAGAATAGTCTTGTATAGAGTAGCTGTTATACTGCCTTTTAGGACAATAACTGGAACAACTCCATACAAACAAAGTACAGTCCATACCAAAATGAAACTGTCTGCATCCATTCACTTTATAGCATGATGGTGAATCTGACAAGAGTACTTTTGGAGAGTTAACACTTTCTGAACAATGCACAAAGATGCATTTCTTGGGATAATGAATGGCTTATGCTCTAGAACAGTGCTTCTCAACTGGGTGAATGATTCATCCAGGGGTTAATGAGATCAGAACCAAGGTGAATGAGTATTATCAATTATACTACAAATTCAAGAGCAAAAAAAAGTCATTAGTTATTATTATATATTTTAGTTTGATAAATACATTTATTTTTTGTTGTATTCATTCTAGTTGTAGTTTGATGTATATTTAAGTCATAATATAGAATTTTGCATTTTAATTTAGTATTTTTTTTTTTCAAACTGGGGTAAGTGAGCTGTTGTGAAAAACTATAGGGGGTGAATGATATTGGAAAAGGTTGAGAAGCACTGGACTACAATACACTCTACCATATTATCCCATGTGATTGTGTTTATTCTGAAACTGATTGCTTGTGTCTAACCGTTAACCCTGAACATATTTTGGTAGGACTTATCTTTCCATTTCATGTTGCAGATGAATGTGTTTCAGACCTGACCACACAAAACAGTTTTTTTTTTACCAACACTGCTTTTTGAATGTGGAGTTACACTAGCTGAATGGAATCCATGCTATCATAGCCTTAAAAAATGTTTCTGTTGGCACATCAGCAATCTGTACAGGTTTGGTTATTTGTGTGAGCTCATTCATTACAGGAAGGTGTTCAAAAAATATTGGAAACAGCATTTTTAACCACCTTGTGGTAGATATTACTCTTAAAACAAACATATTTATCTTGAGACCCTGTACAATCTAATTGTTATTAACTGTCAATTATTCTTAAAATAACATTTATGGACAAGTAACCATTGGTCCTTCAAGGTTGTCCCTGCACACCCACCCTTGAGAAAAAGTCAAAACTTAAACCAATGCTTTGCTTTCCAGCAAATCATCAGTTCCCCTTTTAAACTCTTGTAAATTGCCAGCCTCCACTAATACTCACAACTCATTCTCTGTAGAAAAACAAAACTGGCTTAGCTGGAACATAATCCATGTTTTCCAAATTTCAACCACATGTCCCCTCATTCCATTATATTCATAATTTAGCACATAGAAATAACTGCTTTAGAGCTCTAATAATATTAATGGTTATTTTTAAAGTTGTGGGAATGAGGTTGAAATCTTTCCCAAGATATATAACCATATAATAATGGATTATATTTAAGGAGAATATGACATTTTTTTTCATACATAAGGCCAAAATCCTCTTTTTTCAGTTGCATAACTGTATTATATACATCAGGAAATTTAAAAGCATAAAATTTGCTGAGTCTGCCATTATACTCTTAGGTTCATAAGACTTATGCTGAGTTACGTAAGAGAGAGTCTAAATTTCATAAAATTAACTTTTCTACATTTCTGTTGAAGTTTGCAAATATACAGTTAATATTTTCTGTATGACATTTTGCTCTTCAGAGATTCTTAGCATAACAATTTCTGACCCACCAACTAAATGTTTTATTGTTGTATGTGTACATCTATTTTCCTATTATCTCTTTAAGGATGACTGTGATTATTGTAAAACAATTTATCAATAGCTATTCCAACTACCATGATTTATAATCAAGAATCTGATGCTGTCTGTCACAGATGATAAATATTTGGTAGTTTAAAAACAAAGGTTGGAATGAGCATATCATTTTTTTTATATTACTGAACACTTTGATATCAAAATGTATCAACTTTTATCAACAGTTGATGACAAAATGATTCATCACCTGGTGTTTTTTTGTTTATTTAAGCACTAAATCCCCTTCAGATGTTTTGACAAGACTATTGGTGTTCAAGATGAGTGCATATTAAAACAATTAAACTAAGATGTTACTAGATATATAAAACTGGAACTGTCTTACATCTTGATTGGCTAAAGGAACTAAAGGAAAAACTTTTGGGAAAAAATAAATTTAAATGTTATTAAGGTTATTGTTTGGGATGGTTCTGGAAGGTAGTAATATCACTGGCTATATCAGTTGATTATCATTTCCCAATGCAACTGAAATACTCTTAAAATGAATTATAATATTTCTACCTTTAGAGTTAAAAAAATAATCCAAAACAGGTATTGGATCTTGGATCCAGAGATACTGCAGAAATTAAACACTGAATAGAAGGATGTTACTTGTTTTTGAATTTTGTCCAAAAATATTCAAGAATTATCTATCTGTACTAGCCATTCCCTAATTCAGTTGTATTAGACTAGAGGGAAGGCTGCTAGTCAACACCACCCACTGCCAATTCTTGGGCTACTCTTTTAACAACAAAAGGTGTTATTTACCATCACATTATGTCACTCCCATGGCTGAAAAGATGAGCATATTTAGTGATGGGATTTGAACGTGCAACCAGCAGATATCAAGTCAAGTGCTCTAACCACCAGGCCCGGGATGATGTTTAATATGAAAACAACACTGTTGAAAGAAAAATCATTAGATCCCCACCAAGAAAATAAACAGCAACAGAAATGTGCTTTTGTTCATCATAAATTACATAATTTCTAACTTCAATGTCTAGTACACACCAAGTATGAGTGGCAAAAATGTCAAAGATACTGCACATGTGTACATCTTAAAATTTTATTGAAGTATCTTAACATTTTCAAACAAATACAGCACCATACTGCAACTATCTAAATCGTTATTTTTTTTAACCTTCTCACCACACTACTTGAAAGCATAACTATCAAAAAATGATTTTGTATCTCTTGCCATATCTGGTAAACATTCAGCTTTTCTATACTGTAAGGCCCCACTGCTAGATAAAACACATATCCAAATTACAAAAAAAGCTATAAGATACAGCACACATTATAAAAACACAAATAAGTCATTACAAATTTATCTGATATTCTGTAAGCTGGTTATAGAAACACAAACTGTATATGCTATGAAAAATTACAAAATAGAAACACTTGCTTCAAACACATTGTACTTTTTAATCTACTAAATTTTTTCAGTACCTTCTTACAGAAAAAATAAAGGTTCAAAAATACTGTTATTTGTAGAAAATCTGTGGATTGTTTAAAAATGTTAAAAGATCAGGTAAAAAGTAATATTAAGTGCTTACACATGTTTATAGTGTTAAAAAACAATAAAATAATGAAAACTCTTAGTCAAGTGAAATTTAATGAAATTTCCAGGTCTCTTTTTTATTAACGTTTATAAATGAATAAAAACAAATTATAATCAAGTCTGCTTTTGGTATTTTAAATAAGTTTTTTTTGAGACTGCAGAATAAAATATGTATGCGAGTATATGAAACAAATTTAATTCACAATGAACTTAAATATTAGAAAAATAAAACTATATTTCAATTTTTTTGGTGAGGATTGTGAACATATTAATATTTTTGGATGAAGTAAGTATCTGTCCAAAAAATATTTAAATGGTTGTACAGAAAATCTAATAAACATTTTAGCATTAATTAACTTCAAGAAGTAGATTTCAGGTATGCTAAAAATTCTTCAAATGTTTGCAGATATGTTTTACAGCTCTGTTCATTAAAATCTTTGATTCCATTATCCTTGAATATAAAAATTATACAACATTACACTATAGGATATATAAACATTTTCAAAACATGGCAATTCTCGACTGGCCAACTGTCTAAGAAATGTACAATAACTCTTGAAATAATTTTCAAAATAAACACAAACTGTACTTTTTTCCACTTCCATTAAGTCATAAGAACAATTTAGAAGATGAAAATCAACACTTCCTCTAACTTGTTTAAAACAAGAATACTAACTTGCTATATTATACAGGAATGTGAGAGTAAAAGTAGAGATATAAAACTCCATAGCAAATGTGGCACTGTTTTAAGTCTTTGCTCTGTGTAGTAAAAACTTGACAACTTGGGCTAGAAAAGTAGTTAGATAGAATAGTACTGTACTCCAGCTTAAGTAATGATATGACCAGAAAGTAACTAGACAAAGATGTGAGCACTCTCCTTGAGCCTGGACACTAAGGTGAGATGGAGATGTATTCTCCTTGAGCTAGTAAACACCATGAATTAAACAAGTACTTTCTTTTAGTCCAGTCTATAATGTACTCTCCTTTACCTTACTTAACAATGTGAGCCTGAACTGTGCTTTACTTTAGCTTTGTTGATGAAACAACTAAAAGTTTGTTCTATTTTTTTTTTAGCCTAGCTAATAATGTCAACCAGAAATATACCCTTCTTAATAACCAAGTTATGGTAATTTAAATAAGAATTTTCCCTGATTCAATTAATGATGTGAACCATAAGTCTTCAGTTAAGGAAACAATGTCTACAAAACAACTTCATGCCTAGTTAATAATGTCAACCAGAAGTATACCCTTCTTAATAACCAAGTTAAGTTAAGTTAAAAGAGAATTTTCTCTGATTTAATTAATGATGTGAACCATAAGACTTCAGTTCAGGCAACAATGTAAACAAGACAACTTCACTCCCATTAAGACTAGTAACATGAGCTTGAAGAGTACTCTTCCCAGATTAGATTAATATTGTTAAACTTAGACTCAGTCTCTTCAAGCCTACTTGATAGTGCAGGCTATAAAAAATACCATTCTCATCTGATGTAGTTAAAATGGTAAGCAAAAAGAATGCTTTTATTTTATTTTCATAATGATTCAGAAGAGGACTTTAATCTAACCTAACTGATTAAATGGAGTAAGTAACAACATTATAGTTTAAATGGGGCAGCTGGAATATTCATTAGATATATCATATAAAAAAATATAACATTTCTAAAAGAGAAAAAAAAAAGAATGAAAAAACATCAGTGTTATTACAAAACTTAAATTTAGAACAATTTATGATGAGGAGTATTAGTTTCAGAAAAAAAGATTTGGAAAACTAGATATTAAGATCTCAAGATGAATATAGCTTTTACAGTTCATCATGTTTTGGACCACTAAACTCTTTGTGCGATATTAAACCATTTTTATCCTGATCTTCATGTTGAAAGATTTCTTCAACAATTTTGTCCTGGTCAGGAAGATCTTTCATTCCAGCTGCTTCAGCTTCTGGTAACTGTTTTTTTAAGTATTCACTCACCTGTAGGGGGGGAAAAAACAACTGATTAATGAAACTAATTTTTTAAGACTCCTCCTTTTAACTTTTGTCTTCTGTTGATGTTATGGTCTCTGACCCATTCCGAGGCCAAGAAGAATTAGCTTTCTGTTTATGAGTAAACAAATACACAAATTAATTCTGGCTCAGGTAACACACAGTTAAATAAGGCCTGCATAACCCATTTACAAATCATGGTAACTGTGAAAATTATGCTAATGGACAACACCAGTTGTAATGATCTTGTTTTCGTACCCATGTACAACTAGGCTGTTGATAATAACAATAAATAATGAATAATTGACTAGATCAATAATGAACAGTAATGGGAATTGTTTATCAACACATAAAGGTAAATCCCACAAGGCAATTCATAAATATGGGACAGGCAACATTCACATGCTGAAGGCACCAGTAGACTAAAACCTATACAGTAATGCCTGTAGAAGTGACGGCAACAAAAAGCTACTAGCCCCTAATTTCAATTTTAACTTGGCAGTTAAGTGTTTATGTACCACAACTCACATGTTTAGAATTATTAAGATAACACTGTATCACGAACCAATCAACACCTTGTACAACCAATACAATGTTATTCTTGAGTTACATCATACACTGTAGTTTAAGCTCAGAGAAGATGAATGTGTAAAATGTAAGTAGGAAACTTTTATATTATTATTATTATTAACAGAAGATATGTATGTAATGTAATAAAGAAGTAATGATATGATTACGTGTCCACAGATAACTGCATCTGAAGGAAGAAATAATGTAATTCCTCACACAGTACTCAGATTAGTAATGGTAATCCAAAGTATGAAGAAGATTTACTACGTTAGCTATATTCATTACTGGTAGCTTGCTTTGATCAGAAGTTAATGATAATTTGCAAGTTGAATGTTGATTACCATAAACATTTGAATAATTTTTATAAGAAATTAAAGAAATTCATACTAAATTTTTCTATATATATGTCTGTAAAATAGTGTATAACAAAGTCTTTATTTGCATATACATGTATAACAATATACCCTATCAAAGCTGAATGTGCATTTGATATTAATCTGGTCCAAAAGATAAATATCAGAGAAATAAAACACATTATTAGCATTCATCAGACTAAACTCATTTAACTTTTTCTAAATTGAGAATAACGAGTTTCTGCAACTTAAATTTTATTTTGTTACTTGAATAGACCACATTTACTGATAATAATCTTCTTTCACTCAAAATAACCAACCAACTAATACATTTATGCTTAAAACGAGGACAGAGTTCCTATTTTTCAGTTTTCTTAATACTAAAATTTAGGTCAACCACTTTCTAGTTTTGACCACCTTAGTGACTGATATTGCTCCAGTTCTACATCATTTAACTCTCAATATAGTATTTTTATAGCTTTCACTAATATGATACAGTGATAATATATATATATATATATATATAGAGATAGATAGATAGATAGATAGATATAAACACACCGTCAGATAAGCGGCCGGTGGTCTTACAGGAACACCCTATTTCCACAGAAGTATACAAATTTAGTGCTAAAATATCAAATTCAGCATATCTGACCAGGCAACACCTGACACCAGGTGGGATCCTGAAATATGATGTATATCAACGAAATAAGATAAAAAACAATAATATGTCAACTTACCCCAGGCAAAGGCAAACAGACATGTGTAGAATCACCACAGGAGGAAGACAATACTTGCAGGCTCTCCAGCAGTACCAATATAAGTACCTTTTAACCAACAGAGCATTTGGTGTATAAATATTTTACAAAAATGTGGTTCTGGGGTTAAACAGATGACCAATCTTACTGGTAATTCCAGGGTTAAAAGACCCTATTTGAATTTAATATTCCAATTCTACGAAAAAAAAAATTAATAATGCTAATAGTATACTCCCATTTCCTTTCCTTTATGCAATCTAGTACTCATACCTACAGAGGTCAATAACTTCGTATTTACAAAAGAAATCTAGCATACGAGGATGAAAGTTACCAAATTGTCTGTTCCATCAGTTTGATTGAACATAAATTCATAGGTGCTGCATTTGGCAACTTGACTGGAGTGTCTTTGTATGAAATAGTACAAATATCCATTTCATTCTCCACCTGCTTGAGGTATATGACAGTTGAACAGATATGCCATAGAAGCAACTGTACATCTAACATGTGTCACTTTTCCAGATGGAGATCCCTCTTGATTATGTTGCATATTGTTGCCTAGGGCAGGTGGAAGGTTTCTGCACCAAAACTTTGAGTTTGTGGTTTCTACTTGATGTAAGACTCCACACTTTGTTTACCACAGTTGAGGTTTGACTTGTTGCAAGCCATTTTTGTGGTGATTCTAGTTCCCCAAGTTGATCCATATTCCTTTATTTTCCATTGCCATTAAGTACAAAGGATTTCCCCATCTTGAATATTTTAAATACCTGATATAAATACATTGTTATGATTTGAGTATATGAATATTTTGTGATGGAGAGGACTGTTACATATCTTTCCTAAAAGCTATCAAGTTTCAGTGTCAAAGTCAAAATATATTTTTGATATATGCCATTCCACTATGACTTTATATATCAGTTGTGGTTGTCACATCGCTTGACAATTTGCATGCTTAAAACCATTTTAATATAACATACTCAACTCCGTGTATTTGATTGTGTACAATTTCAAGTAAAAGATTATATAATCTTTAATGAAAAAGTTCTTACTTCTTCACGAGACAGCTGATTATCTGAATTAGCATCTATTTCTTTGAACACATTGACAGGTGGTGGTCCATCCTCTATTTTCTTAAGTTCCACTTCAAAAATAAGAGTGGCTTTAGGTGGAATACTCTCACCTGAAAGAATAAAAGTTTAATCATTAGAGCAAAATACATAGAGTTAAGGTGTGAAGCTATACATACCCCATGTAAAAAATCACTCTATTAATGATATCACAATACACAGATTTAATGTGTGAAACAATATGTATCCTGTGTAGAGAATCACTCCATTAATGATATACAAATTGACTGGACCATCAATACCATTTCTAAAGTTAAGCAAGTCTCTGCATTAAAATGATTTACATACTTATAAAAACAAATAAAGCCACAATTTCTACGATACTACAAAAATGTAAATAATCTTGGAAAACACAACTGACTTGTTGATTCAAAGGTTTTAACTCAAAATGTTGAATAAACATGCTGCCACCCAAAACAAAATTCTTTATTAATCATGTAATATTAGATATTTAGTAATGTATGTGTATACATACATTGTGTAACCAAATTTGGTCTATTGTACACTACTCTTAACAAATTAACATAGCCAATTTATACTTGTATTATTGGCCAAGAATACACATGTATTTATGATGAGAGAGAATTTATAGGTGTATACATATTCTTACAGGTGAATTTGTGAAACTCTAAAAATTATAACACCTACAGTACATACAAGAATTCAAAATTATTCTTACATCAGATCTATTATGTACTAATGTAACTCAAAGTCAGTTACACTAAAATATGTAATTGGTCTTCACATCCCAGATTCTATGCATATAGTCTCTATATTATATGTATGCTACCAGCAAAACATGATCTTAATGTAACATTAAACAAAAAATGTACTAAGTACATAATTATTCATTTTTAAGACTGTAAACTGAACAACATGTGATTTTCATGCAAGTACAAACAAACTCAGAATTGAGAAGGTTACTGCTATCACTGTTTAGTCTATATTTGAAAGATATACAATATATCACACATGATAACCCCAATATGAAAGCCTTTTACTGCAATGTTACCCATGGTTTTTTCATCTAAGTCATAACAACTAATAAATATGTGACAATAAAGTTTATAACAACCCATCAAAAAGACCGAGAAAAATTATTAAATCACGTACATATACTTATAAAATAAAACTGGTGTCAACCAAGAGCTTCAGTTATGCCATAATGAAGCTATTTGAACTTAGTGGCCATGATAAGAAAATTGTGTGAGTGTTTCAAAACAATTATATACCTGCTCCTGTATCTCCATAACCTAGATGAGGAGGGATGGTCAGTCTACGTTTTTCACCAACACACATGTTTATCAAGCCTTTGTCCCAACCTTTAATGACTTGACCAATTCCAAGTTGAAACTGGAAAGGTTCATTTCGATTGTAACTGCAAACAAAATGCCAGTTGTTAATATAAAGAAACTATACAAATAATCATGTGACAAATCAGCTATTTATCAATTTAGTTTTAAACACTAAATTTATTTGTTACTTTATTATACAATGCCTATAGTTTACTGCTTAAGTGGTATTATCTGGAATTTTGTAAACTCAAAAATCACTTTTATTTATTTATTTTTTGGTGCTTACTATTTCCTAAGCTTACTTTTTATATTTCTATTAACCATCAGTTGTACTGCAAAGATATGTTCCTGAATGTTAAGCAAAAGATAGCACAATTTATTCAAAGACAGAACTGTAAAAGTATTTTTTTTCTTACCAAACCAACATAATAATAACCATTTAAAATACTTATTCACCAGTGACATTTTTACTCTTATAAAAGAAAATTACTGTGTTGTATATTATGAAAAAAATCTAAACATTTTGAGCTGCTCCAAATACTTATAAACCCGCTAAAAGAAGTAAATTTAAAAATTGTTCACAGGGTCTCAACAACAACTAATTTTTTTAATTATTATGGTAATAAGTTATGGCATAATAGTTTATTCTAAACAATTGTAAATTTTCTGAAATAGGATATGTAAATTTGAAACTACTCTTAAAAATATTTTCTAGAAGAACAACATTTGAAAAATTCACAAACAATTAGGTACTTAAATAGTAAAGTTTTAACTAGACACTTTTGTTTTCCAAAAGATTTCAATATAATTATGTTAAATACATCTGTAATCATGACAGTGTATATTAGGTATGCTGGTGTCATGTATGTATATGGCAGATGAATGATACTTTTAGGCAAATTATTATTTTCCTAGGTAAATAATAAGTGCCTTGGCAAATAGTAAAATGGTGTGATTTTACAACATGCTTAGGTATCTTCTAAATGCACATACATAGGCTTAGCATTTAGTAAAAGCAAAGTTATGGTACAAACAGCATAAAGCTAAACCATATATTGTTTTAAACCTAATTATTTTTCACCTGTCTACCATCAAATAATCATTACATTGGTAAACTTAAGACTTAGAGAATACAAATAGCCAAGAAAAAGGTCTTACACAGAAAAGTAACACATTTTGGGATGCTATGGTGGACATGTTGCAGTGAATAATAATTTTAGGCAAATTATTACTTGCTAAGGCAAACACTAAGTGCCTTGGCATATAGTAAAACAAAGTATTTTATTCTGTGTTATTTTCTGCAACAGTTACACTACTAGGATTAATAATACATTAATTTATCCTAAATCATTTACTTTAGTAAACGTTACAGCTGCAACGTCTAGAATAGTCTACAACTTTACGTATCATTATATAACATAAACTGCACATTTATTTCAATTTTGTGATCCCATAAATATATATCTAATTATAGTAATATTGTTGCAAACCTTGAATCAAACTCTTTTCCATCTTCTAGGGTACCTTTGTAATGCATTGATAAAAGATCGCCTTTTTGAGCAGATCTATCACATTTGTCAGATTTTTGTAAAACTTCAATTTTTAAATCATTATCCTCCTGAGCGTCAGTTTTTAATATACAATTTAATTGCACAATCATAAATAAAACTGCAAAAGTTGACCTATACTTGAAGTTACACATATTAGTAATGTTAAACTACTATTACTAAATGAAGTAATAACTACAACAGCATATAACTAGGATTACACTATCTACACCCAATATCTAAGCACACGTTGCATACAGTCTGGCCTCGAGAAGGTCACAAATCTTGTCATTCATGCTGCTACCTAGCGAACATTTAATTTCAAAAACGGAAACAACGTGAAACATTACGAAAATCATTTTGTGTCTAACTTACTATACTCAGTACTTTTATAAATGGGCCCGGACATGGCCAGGTAGTTAGGGCGCTCGACTCGCAATCTGCGGGTCGCGGGTTCGAATCCCCGTCACACCAAACATGCTCGCCCTTTCAGCCGTGGGGGTGTTATAGTGTTACGATCACTCCCATGATTCGTTGGTAAAAGAGAAG